AGGAACCTGTGGGACAGAATCAGAAAAACATTCACTATTAGAGCTTACATTCAACATATTTACAGGAAAACTGACAAAGCTAGATGTGCCGACTACTTTATTACCTTCATTATGATCCTTGACCCTCTTTAGCTTTTTCTGGTGTTGCCTCGATCTCCTCGACACCAGCCTGGGTCATCAGGTCAGCAATGTTTTTTTCCAAATCATCAATACGTGTGCTCATTTCATCAAGTGGAGAATTAGTTAAGGCAGGTAATTACAACTGGAAATCACAAAGTCAGCTAACACGGAACAAATGACCCAGCCTACAATTATTAACTTTGATGCATATAATCAATACAACATTTTAGATAATTATTAGGATATTCCTTCCAATGATCTGGTCTGACATGGTCTGGAACTTGTCCTGCATCTGTTGCAGCAGAGTCTGAACCTGTGGAGGGGAAAAGAGCAGAAATTATGAAACTGGAGCCACTTAGTAGTTAAAGTTTATGGAGATATAAAGTGAAGTCATAACACTGCCAGATACAAACACTTTTAAGCATATGGTCTGTGAATCAAAGCGTGAACAATGGTGAATTTGTTTCTATGCCAACAACTTAAAAGCTTGACTGTGGATCTATGATTTACTGTAACAAGTACACCTGCAGCGCACCCACCCCCCCCAATCTCTTCATTCTGCATCTCCTTCACATAACAGTCAAGTTAATCCTCAGCTTCTTTAAATCTGTGTGAATACGACTGTAGGAAACTAGGTAATGCATAACAACAAATGACTCAAACTAGCGGAGGTGGTTTTTAAACGTTTGCGAGGTTTACTGAAGCTGAACGTCTCTCACTGACCCCCATCTCTATGGCAACACTCAAACACTGCCTACGCAGGCTTTGTCGTATAGGAAACACTAAAAGAATCATTAACATATAATCTGTACATTTTAAGGTCTGTGTGAAACTGCGCGATATTCAGTAGTTAGACACTGATAAGGGAAACCTGCTATATATAAGTGCCAGGTGAATAAGAATAGAAAATGTACTGCAGGTAACTTTTACATAATTCTGTGCAGTTTACTCGTTGGAATTTGGTGATGCCATTTACATGACCGGTTGACCATTACATAACATTCTGGAGCTAAAGTCTGGGGTTGTGGTTTGGATGCAACAAGCTCAACACACACTTTGAATCTAGAGTTTTACACACCAAACAAAATCCACGAAACGCCGCAGAAGTGCTAAGATTTGCTAGCTCAGATAGCTTGCTATCGTTAGCATTGTTATTGGCTTTGCTAGCTAAGGCTAAGCTACTGTGGCTAAAGCTAGCTTGCCTCGCGATCACGACTCACCACATTGGTAAGGTCCTGCACCGATTTGGGGTCCGTCTCAGCCATGTTGTGATGTAAATGATTATCAGCGCCTAAACAGCACAAAAATTCAAACCGCTATCTAGCGACTGTTTTGCTATCTACTCGAAGTAAGCAATCTCGCACAACACCCACAGCACAGTCAGCTGTTCCAAAGCACAGAGAATCTCGCGAGAGCTGCTCCAAAGTACAGCGAGTTTTGAATGGGCAGTACAGAGTTGTAGATTTTATTTACCCCACGTAGCTTCATAAAACTCCTGACATTCAGATATTTGTTCAGTCCAGTAGTCTGCCTCATTTAGGCGTCCGGGTCATAGAAACATGCACACAAAAGCCTTTGTTAAATCTGTATTAACTAAAACAAAAGATAGAAGTCGATGTATCCGTGCGAGTGCGTGTGCGCCTGCCTGCGAGTGCGTGTGCGCCTGCCTGCGCGCGCACGTTTCTCCTCATCTGAACGAGTTGGATTTGAAAGTTGGAGCTGCCGGGAGCCCGGTGTGTTTTGACGCCGAAGAATTCGTGTGCGGGTTTTGTTTATGTTACAAACGGGCGGAAAGTGAATGACGAGGCTTGGTAAGTAAAGCTTGAAGTTTTAAGTTAACTCTTAAATTAGGGAACTTACTAGGGTATAAAATCCTTATAAGGGGCGATACAGAATCAGCCCAATTGCGCACCGTGCGCGTTGTGAGCTCGCGCTACTATTATAGAAAACGGTAGACTTTCTCAAGTGATTTAATTTTTGCCTTTAAAAGTTCTTATTTGCACAGGCTTATACGAAACCTTCATCTGTTTATAACAATGTAACCACTCGCTGTGAATGCTGGGCCTCTGTGTCTTGTTACTCTGAGGCTGGCACAGTAGCCTAAAATTGATGTCTGGAAGTTCAGGCATGTTAGCCCAACCCAAAGAAGCTATGCTTTGCTTACGTAACAAAGCTCGTTGTGTTATCAGATGTAGTCCATCACATTTGGGCTGCTCTCGTGTGATGGTTAACTTCTACAGCAGGCGGAGGGAAGTAGCTGGAGACGCCTTGGATTGAAATGTCCTGAATAATATTTAACTTTGGAAAACACGTAGAAACCTTTTTATGGAATGTGTTAAAGGTCTGCTGCAGGTTTTCATTCACTTTGCATTGTTAATCATCACACCTTTAAAATGCTTTCTGCAATGTTGGTGTTTTTACAGCCGTTATGTCCTTATTACAAATAAATGCCCTCTGATGTTAATCAGGCTGTACACAGGAGATTCCACTCAATGCATCTGCTGTTACGTTGAGGAGAAACGGTTAACAGCAGCAGTCTTACAAGAAGAGAAGCTGTTGGTGAGGGTTTTGTGTTATCACGACAAAAGTGTGTTGACCCAGTGCTGACTGGATTTCCAGGTTTGACTGATTCGTCAGCTGAGCCTTGTGACCAATCAAAAGAGCACATTCATTCTAGCGCGTTTCAAGGTTTGATAATGAAAATATTACACAGTCATTACTGAACAGGAACACAACAGTACCCACAAGCATGACGCCACTGCTCACTGTTGTTCAGCATGTGTAGGTCAGGGTTTTGTGTACACAAAATACGTTTGTTTTTGTTTTGTTTCTACTGAAGAACAACAATATAGGGAACTGGAGTTTTAGGGAACTGTATGAAATCAAATTTACTGAAACATATTGTAACACTGTTTGGAGGGAAAAGAGAACTACTGTGACCATTTGTAATAAAGTAAAATAAAATTCACTTCCTGCTGTGACAAAACAAATTTCCCATGTGTGGGACTAATAAAGGTTATCTTAACTTATCTTATCTTATCTTAAAGTATCATGCCAAGTAGTCACAGTAGTCACTTTGCTTGCTAATAATAATATTAATTTGAAGATTTAATTTAAGAAAACATTTTGAATTACAGGACCTTTGTTATGAAGACAGCCTGGTAATAGAATATGTTTAACTGAACATTTAAGCTAAGAAGAAAAAAGAAAAGCTGGTGTATGCAGCTGGTGCAGATATGCATTTTGACTTGTTATTTAAACAGTGTGGTAGATCCCATACTGGTCACCTTAGTAACGCCCCTAGCTTCACCAGCCGGTGACTGTTTAACCTCTCCTGGCAGTCCACGTCCTCTGTTGCTGTACATTCCCAGACCTTTGACTCCCACTTGTGATCCCTGTTCTGATATGTGGCCACTATAAAAGACAAGAAGTTTAAATAATAGAAAAGTAGTTTGCTTGTTACTTGTCTGTCCTCTATATATTTATGTAATGAATTAAAGTACAGTATACTATTTTCACACAGTCATGGGTCCATTTATTCTAACTGTTGGGAAACCTGAATAAAAATGAACCTTTTCTTTGCTGCACATCTGTTTGGAATCACTACTACGCCTGCCTGTAACAGCAGAGCTTGCCTAAGATGTGTTATTGAATGATTTTGATTGATGGAAATGGATGTAAAACGATTAGAAAAATAAGATAACTGCCAACATTTAGAAGTTGTATTTGGACAATAATGAGCCTTTTGTACTTTAAAAAAATATAAAAAGATAAACATTTAACAGCTGTTTTTGACTAATCAACCAGCAAATATGTGAAACTGTAACAGACTATGCAACAATGACATAGTTGTCTACTTCAACATTATGTTCTGCATAAAGAAGCTTAAAAGCAGTATTATGCCTGCCTTGTATGTGTGCATTGATAGGCCAGAATCAGCTGACTGAGATCATTTTGGCTCTAATATGAAGGTATATTGCTTCATGTTTTATGTAAGTTTGGTTATTTTGGTCATCATGCATGGGCTACTTTCCTGTAACAGATTTTGTGCTGGAAATAAAAATGAAAATTGTGATGTGAGATATAAGAATGAGGCATTTAATTGCGCTCGGGCAATGTTAATCTCTGGTTAGTGACTCTGGGCGCCTCATAATGCCCATTAATGATAACGCTGCTGACCTCCCATTACTTTGACTCTCTGACAGTGGCCTGCTGTCTGTCAGATCTCCTACTGCTACTCATCCACCTCCTGAACACTCGTAATATTCCCTTGCTGTGATGGATGCCGAGGTGGTTCTCCAGGAGGAGGACATGGAGGGCTCGTGGACGCTGCTCTCGACACCCACTCAGCTTGCAGTGAGACACAGTGATACAGGCCTGTGGCCCCAGTAGGTCCTGATCCTGATGATTAAACCAGCATCATTATTATAGACTATCAGAATTACTTCTGCTTCACATCTGAATGCTTTCATCCATATTCAAAATGCATGTGACGCCTTCCTCATCAAGTCTATATTTGTACCTGAAACTGCCGTGTGTGCATGAGCATATGGTTTTTGCTTTAACTCCAGTGAGTCCTCTCACACTGTTAACTGTTTCATCTGTTTTGTAAAGACTGCTGTTTCTCAGGTGTTAATGGAAATGTAAACTAGCTATATACAACTTTAACTTGTTATAACACCTGCAGAAATGTCAGTGAGACATAGAATTATGATCTGATCTAATGGATGATGATAATGAAGTCAGAGATTCTATTTTGATTTATTTGTAAGATGGAGATTCTTTGCCACCGCAGTGGCACATTACCACAGTGCCACCTAGTGGTAGATGGCATGTGTTGATTTGTGTGTTTTCTTTCTTGTTCCTGTTTCTCGTTGCAGACCAGCGTTCTGAACAAACACCTGAGTTCTCTGATGCCCGGTCTGACTGCGAAAGTCTTCAGGACATACAACGCCTCCATCACTCTGCAGCAGCAACTTAAGGAGCTCACAAACAGTCAGTCACACCTGCTCGCTGCACTGTAACAGTCTAAATTGACTTTAAATGCTCTGCACCACACATGAGCATTTTAAAGCGGTGGCTTGTGTTCCTCAGGTGCTGGTGCAGGGGGGTTAATAATGTAACTTGCCATCAGTTCAGCTCATTGTGTCACAGGGTCCAGTGAAAACACTGCAGTGACCCTCTTTTATATTTAGCCGGCTTAGTTCAAGGTATCCTGATGTCAGTCGGGTTTCTCAGTTATGACAGGAGTACATTATCACTAAACCCAGAGCCGTGCATCTCGGTCTCGCTCTTATCAGAGTCCCATTGGCTGCCTCGGCCATGATTTTTCCCTTTCAGAGATAGAAGTGTCATACTCGTCTCATTTCTGGCTTGCCACTGAGAGCCAATATGCAGGCTGACATGTGGTTGCAGGCAGTGTTGTGTGAACCACAGGAGGAATAGATGAAGTTAATACACGTGTATAAATGAAATAGGAGAATGTAATTGTATGAATGTGACTTGAAGCTTGATGTTTTGTCGCTGTGAGGTAATGGCATTAGGCGTGTCAGCGTGAGTTTCTCTTTAATAGTTTCTGTGCATAATTCTGGTTTGATATGTTCTCACTTGGATTTTTTTCCTTGTTTAAATACAAATTACTTTTTTTTTTCGTTCCTCAGAGTCTGACAATGTGGCAGAGAAACTGTTGTCCTACAATCGAGCTAACAGAGCAGTTGCTATTCTGTGTAACCACCAGCGGGCGCCGCCAAAGACCTTTGAGCAATCCATGGCTAACCTTCAGGCAAAGGTAAGGGCAGCTGGATTGAAAGTTACTTTACAGTTTATATTTTATTGGACACAGTAATTTAAATTAGATTAGAAAGGTCAGCATCATACTTTTTTGTATTCTTCTCATTGTTAATTGACTGAGGAACAGATGAGAATTCAAGTGACAGTGGATCCACAGCCTGTTCTGTCACATTTTGAATTTAAATGTGGTGCCTGTGTGAGAGCTTGTATCCATATGTTCTCCACCCAGATTGATGCCAGGAAGGAGCAGCTGGCCTTAGCCAAGACGGAGCTGAAACAGGCCAAGAAGGAGGCCAAGACGAAGGGGAGTTCGGACCCGAAGTTGCAAGCGTGAGTGTCAGTAGTGGTGCGGAGGGGACGAAAGGAAAGCTTTGGTAACATTTTGTCCTGTCCATGCGTTGGACTGAGGGCTACCACGAAGTAGCTTTAACCATTTTGGCAGATACCTGATATCTTTCTGTCCTGAACATTTTTTCCTTTAATACAACTAAAAAAAACCCAAGAGCATGAAACTTTACAGGTGTGTACCTGAGATCAGAATAAAGGTTTTAAAATGGTTGCGGTGGAATCCACGGTGCACTGCTGGAGTTACGTCATCGTTCTTTCCTTTTTCTTGTATGCCTTCTATTTTTAGAATATAATTCATTCATTCATTCGAATGACCCTCAGGCAATGAATGGTTTCATGATATCTAATATTTTCATCACAGGGTAAATAGGAAAGCGCTGAACAGCTTTGAATGCGTTTGCAATGACAGCATCAGATTTATTTCCCCCCCCCCAGTAAAAATGTTTGTTTTCGGGTCTTTTCTACTATTTTCAAATATTTACACAAACTCCTCTTTAATTGTTGCACTGTGAGAGGAAGTGATACAAAAAGGTTCTTCCATCCACACATATCTGCACCAGTGATGATTCCTTCTCTGTCAGGCTGGTGGAGCGGAAAAAGGCAGCAGTGAAGCGTTGTGAAGAGCAGCTGCTGAAGCTGGAGGTCCAGGCAACCGACAGGGAAGAGAACAAACAGATCGCTCTGGGTACCTCAAAGCTCAACTACTTAGACCCGCGGATATCCGTGGCCTGGTGAGTGAACACTACCAGCTGTTAAATATATAACACAAGATGTATACTGATATTTTCCCTCAGACTCAGAAGTGATGGCTGGTTTGTTTCAACTTTACCGTCTGTGTACCTCTGTTTCTAGGTGAAAAGATCTAAACCTGAATAAAGACGTTTAGGCTCATTTTTAATATTCCTCCCATCTATTCAGGTGTAAAAACATGGAGGTACCTATAGAGAAAATCTACAATAAAACCCAACGGGAGAAGTTTGCCTGGGCCATCGACATGACAGAGGCAGACTTTGAGTTCTAACCTAAAACTTGTTCAAGTCTTTCGTCTTAAAAGGTGACATAAGCTGCAATTCAGGAACCACTCCGTTAATTTTACATACAGTACTTTAATGCTGCATTTATTGTATTTTCAAAGACTGCCCATGTTGTACTTATAACTGTGTGGTACGATCGAGCTGTGCTTAATGTGCTTTTGCTTAGTGGTGTTTGTTTTTGTTCGACACTTTCTTTGGAAAAACTGCTGTTATTTGCTGTTTGTATGTTTTTGTTTGCATTAATCTGAATAAAGGTTCCCATTAGGCAGTAACGGGCCAAAGAAGCTGTCACGAGTTCTTAAACACCACTTTTGGGGAAGTGTTGTTTCAAATGCATAATTCTGCTGGTGTCGGTTTGCATTAACAAAGACAGTTTGTATAAGACTGAGGGCCAGTTCATTCTAAACACAGTGCTTTAAAATTAACAATGGGAAACGCTGATTAGAATGCAAATAAAAAGGCAGTAACTTTAAAATCCTTTAAACCCCATATTTAATTAAAATGGTACAAAGACAACAGATTTTGCTTTTTGGAAAAAAATCAATGAAAATATATGCATGCGCTGATTTTTATTTAAGGGCAGAAATACATTTAAACAAACTTTTATGACCGGTGTTTTCCAGCGTGTTGCGTGACCTCTTCTTGAACTGATGAGACTAAATGTGTAGTTTTTAAAGTAAAAGTTGCATTTTCCAGTTCATAGTACACTAAAGTTTACAGTAGATAATTTCATCTGTGGATGCGATGACAGTCTTTAATGACAATAAGTGCTTCTGAGCCCAGTGACTGAAGATTCTTATTTTTGTGCCGTGTCACTCCACACATCTGAATATATTATGCACTGTCCATGATGGGCTCATACTTATTTGCTGTGTCATTGTCCTTATTAATTCTGAAACCCTTGGTGTCCCTGTGGTGCTCATGATGAAGTTTCAACATGCAGGGTTTAAATGATTATTTACATTTTACAAACTGTCCTAACCTAAGAGGTTGATTATAATTTCATTACATTATAAACAATATAGATTTAAATCCATGCAACACTGAGACGTTCCACAGAATTTGCATCTGAAAATACGATTCTGGTTTAAAAAAACAAAACTACAGAAAAATGCAGAGCACCTCGGAGTTGGATGTATTGTTAAAAATTCTGTCAGCACCAGAGGGGTAGGCTACGAAGAACACTCAACACAGGCAGGCTGTCTTTGCTGAACCTGGCTTGACAAAACGTAAAACTCCAGTAAGAGATTTGTTTTCAGCTCAGTGCGCGCTCGTGTAAAAAGGGGTTTCATGCATCGTGACTCCGTGTCCACGCAAAATGATCCATGTGCCATCTACTCCAATCTCAGACGTTATCAGATGGTGTAAAAACTGGATTTGGTGCATAAAGTGGTAAACATTAGAATTTATTATGTTATTGCCGAGTGTAATTTCAGTGCTGTCACCTTAGAAATAGTTCTGAGTCTTTTAGACTGGATACATTAAATGTGCCTGATGTAAAGGAAATGCACAAATCGCTTTCATTTGTCAGCAGATTGTGAAATGAATTTCACATTAGTACTCTTTGTGTGGGTTCTGTATGCTGGACTAAATCAGGGGTGTCTAACTCCAGGCCTTGAGGGCTGGTGTCCTGCAGGTTTTAGATCTCAGATCTCACCCTGGGTCAACACACCTGAATGAGATGATGAGTTCATTACCAGGCCTCTGGAGAACATAGAGATGCTGAGAAGGTCATTTAGCCATTTAAATCAGCTGTTTTGGATCAAGGACACATCTAAAACCTGCAGGACACCGGCCCTCGAGGCCTGGAGTTTGACACGGCTGTACTAAATAGTTGGGATAGGCTCCAGTCCCCTGCCCCCCCACACACATCTTAACTGGATAAGCAGGAAAGAGATGGAATGAAGTTTAACATTTATACTTTTTTTTTTTTTGCTTCACTAAAATAAACATGCACATACATAATGCAATCTCCTGACGATGATTTTAGTGGTTCCACTAAAGTGCAGCTTAACAACTTGTGACATATAAAACTTATTCCCCGAACATGTGTATAAATAACACTTTTTAAAAATGCGATGGAAAAAAAAAAAAAACCTCTGAAAATATGGATTTTTAAAACTGAAACTCTGAACATAACCTGCGGCCGAGCGGCTTCAGGTTAAGTGACCATAGTGACTTAGGTTAAAAGAGCCGCTTGTCTTAAAATCAGTTTTCTGACCAACTCCAATAACTCACTGATCTCACGTCATAGTGGACCCCTCTTTCCAAATATTGACCATACATGACAAACAGCCGTGTATTAAATAGCTTTAATAGAAGACTATCAGGACTGGAATGCATCCCACACAATGGTTGTAACAGTGCTCACTGTGAAACACTGCTAGCTTTAAAGATTCGCTGCACCGTGTTGGTGCGGACACTGGGTTGGAGGTTTGTACTAACCTGTTAGCCTGCAAGTTTTAGTCCTCGTCAGAGGCTAGGGCAAAACCAACACTGTCTGCTTTCGTGTCAAGGAATTCAACTACTGATATACATGTATATGAAAATAACCTCCAGGTTAGTACGCTAAATCTGCAATCCTGCACATGAGCACTTGAGGTGCTGAAGGGCATGTCACACTACTCTAGCTTACAAGTAACGTTCAAATTTTCAAGTCATTACATAACCATTTCACAATATATAAAAAAGCATTTCACACAACGACACACCAAATCAATATTAGTCATTTTCAGAATGGAAAAAGTCTGCTGCTCCTGAATACAGGACCGACTTCACGCCTTGTGATTTAGGAACCTGTGGGACAGAATCAGAAAAACATTCACTATTAGAGCTTACATTCAACATATTTACAGGAAAACTGACAAAGCTAGATGTGCCGACTACTTTATTACCTTCATTATGATCCTTGACCCTCTTTAGCTTTTTCTGGTGTTGCCTCGATCTCCTCGACACCAGCCTGGGTCATCAGGTCAGCAATGTTTTTTTCCAAATCATCAATACGTGTGCTCATTTCATCAAGTGGAGAATTAGTTAAGGCAGGTAATTACAACTGGAAATCACAAAGTCAGCTAACACGGAACAAATGACCCAGCCTACAATTATTAACTTTGATGCATATAATCAATACAACATTTTAGATAATTATTAGGATATTCCTTCCAATGATCTGGTCTGACATGGTCTGGAACTTGTCCTGCATCTGTTGCAGCAGAGTCTGAACCTGTGGAGGGGAAAAGAGCAGAAATTATGAAACTGGAGCCACTTAGTAGTTAAAGTTTATGGAGATATAAAGTGAAGTCATAACACTGCCAGATACAAACACTTTTAAGCATATGGTCTGTGAATCAAAGCGTGAACAATGGTGAATTTGTTTCTATGCCAACAACTTAAAAGCTTGACTGTGGATCTATGATTTACTGTAACAAGTACACCTGCAGCGCACCCACCCCCCCCAATCTCTTCATTCTGCATCTCCTTCACATAACAGTCAAGTTAATCCTCAGCTTCTTTAAATCTGTGTGAATACGACTGTAGGAAACTAGGTAATGCATAACAACAAATGACTCAAACTAGCGGAGGTGGTTTTTAAACGTTTGCGAGGTTTACTGAAGCTGAACGTCTCTCACTGACCCCCATCTCTATGGCAACACTCAAACACTGCCTACGCAGGCTTTGTCGTATAGGAAACACTAAAAGAATCATTAACATATAATCTGTACATTTTAAGGTCTGTGTGAAACTGCGCGATATTCAGTAGTTAGACACTGATAAGGGAAACCTGCTATATATAAGTGCCAGGTGAATAAGAATAGAAAATGTACTGCAGGTAACTTTTACATAATTCTGTGCAGTTTACTCGTTGGAATTTGGTGATGCCATTTACATGACCGGTTGACCATTACATAACATTCTGGAGCTAAAGTCTGGGGTTGTGGTTTGGATGCAACAAGCTCAACACACACTTTGAATCTAGAGTTTTACACACCAAACAAAATCCACGAAACGCCGCATAAGTGCTAAGATTTGCTAGCTCAGATAGCTTGCTATCGTTAGCATTGTTATTGGCTTTGCTAGCTAAGGCTAAGCTACTGTGGCTAAAGCTAGCTTGCCTCGCGATCACGACTCACCACATTGGTAAGGTCCTGCACCGATTTGGGGTCCGTCTCAGCCATGTTGTGATGTAAATGATTATCAGCGCCTAAACAGCACAAAAATTCAAACCGCTATCTAGCGACTGTTTTGCTATCTACTCGAAGTAAGCAATCTCGCACAACACCCACAGCACAGTCAGCTGTTCCAAAGCACAGAGAATCTCGCGAGAGCTGCTCCAAAGTACAGCGAGTTTTGAATGGGCAGTACAGAGTTGTAGATTTTATTTACCCCACGTAGCTTCATAAAACTCCTGACATTCAGATATTTGTTCAGTGCAGTAGTCTGCCTCATTTAGGCGTCCGGGTCATAGAAACATGCACACAAAAGCCTTTGTTAAATCTGTATTAACTAAAACAAAAGATAGAAGTCGATGTATCCGTGCGAGTGCGTGTGCGCCTGCCTGCGAGTGCGTGTGCGCCTGCCTGCGCGCGCACGTTTCTCCTCATCTGAACGAGTTGGATTTGAAAGTTGGAGCTGCCGGGAGCCCGGTGTGTTTTGACGCCGAAGAATTCGTGTGCGGGTTTTGTTTATGTTACAAACGGGCGGAAAGTGAATGACGAGGCTTGGTAAGTAAAGCTTGAAGTTTTAAGTTAACTCTTAAATTAGGGAACTTACTAGGGTATAAAATCCTTATAAGGGGCGATACAGAATCAGCCCAATTGCGCACCGTGCGCGTTGTGAGCTCGCGCTACTATTATAGAAAACGGTAGACTTTCTCAAGTGATTTAATTTTTGCCTTTAAAAGTTCTTATTTGCACAGGCTTATACGAAACCTTCATCTGTTTATAACAATGTAACCACTCGCTGTGAATGCTGGGCCTCTGTGTCTTGTTACTCTGAGGCTGGCACAGTAGCCTAAAATTGATGTCTGGAAGTTCAGGCATGTTAGCCCAACCCAAAGAAGCTATGCTTTGCTTACGTAACAAAGCTCGTTGTGTTATCAGATGTAGTCCATCACATTTGGGCTGCTCTCGTGTGATGGTTAACTTCTACAGCAGGCGGAGGGAAGTAGCTGGAGACGCCTTGGATTGAAATGTCCTGAATAATATTTAACTTTGGAAAACACGTAGAAACCTTTTTATGGAATGTGTTAAAGGTCTGCTGCAGGTTTTCATTCACTTTGCATTGTTAATCATCACACCTTTAAAATGCTTTCTGCAATGTTGGTGTTTTTACAGCCGTTATGTCCTTATTACAAATAAATGCCCTCTGATGTTAATCAGGCTGTACACAGGAGATTCCACTCAATGCATCTGCTGTTACGTTGAGGAGAAACGGTTAACAGCAGCAGTCTTACAAGAAGAGAAGCTGTTGGTGAGGGTTTTGTGTTATCACGACAAAAGTGTGTTGACCCAGTGCTGACTGGATTTCCAGGTTTGACTGATTCGTCAGCTGAGCCTTGTGACCAATCAAAAGAGCACATTCATTCTAGCGCGTTTCAAGGTTTGATAATGAAAATATTACACAGTCATTACTGAACAGGAACACAACAGTACCCACAAGCATGACGCCACTGCTCACTGTTGTTCAGCATGTGTAGGTCAGGGTTTTGTGTACACAAAATACGTTTGTTTTTGTTTTGTTTCTACTGAAGAACAACAATATAGGGAACTGGAGTTTTAGGGAACTGTATGAAATCAAATTTACTGAAACATATTGTAACACTGTTTGGAGGGAAAAGAGAACTACTGTGACCATTTGTAATAAAGTAAAATAAAATTCACTTCCTGCTGTGACAAAACAAATTTCCCATGTGTGGGACTAATAAAGGTTATCTTAACTTATCTTATCTTATCTTAAAGTATCATGCCAAGTAGTCACAGTAGTCACTTTGCTTGCTAATAATAATATTAATTTGAAGATTTAATTTAAGAAAACATTTTGAATTACAGGACCTTTGTTATGAAGACAGCCTGGTAATAGAATATGTTTAACTGAACATTTAAGCTAAGAAGAAAAAAGAAAAGCTGGTGTATGCAGCTGGTGCAGATATGCATTTTGACTTGTTATTTAAACAGTGTGGTAGATCCCATACTGGTCACCTTAGTAACGCCCCTAGCTTCACCAGCCGGTGACTGTTTAACCTCTCCTGGCAGTCCACGTCCTCTGTTGCTGTACATTCCCAGACCTTTGACTCCCACTTGTGATCCCTGTTCTGATATGTGGCCACTATAAAAGACAAGAAGTTTAAATAATAGAAAAGTAGTTTGCTTGTTACTTGTCTGTCCTCTATATATTTATGTAATGAATTAAAGTACAGTATACTATTTTCACACAGTCATGGGTCCATTTATTCTAACTGTTGGGAAACCTGAATAAAAATGAACCTTTTCTTTGCTGCACATCTGTTTGGAATCACTACTACGCCTGCCTGTAACAGCAGAGCTTGCCTAAGATGTGTTATTGAATGATTTTGATTGATGGAAATGGATGTAAAACGATTAGAAAAATAAGATAACTGCCAACATTTAGAAGTTGTATTTGGACAATAATGAGCCTTTTGTACTTTAAAAAAATATAAAAAGATAAACATTTAACAGCTGTTTTTGACTAATCAACCAGCAAATATGTGAAACTGTAACAGACTATGCAACAATGACATAGTTGTCTACTTCAACATTATGTTCTGCATAAAGAAGCTTAAAAGCAGTATTATGCCTGCCTTGTATGTGTGCATTGATAGGCCAGAATCAGCTGACTGAGATCATTTTGGCTCTAATATGAAGGTATATTGCTTCATGTTTTATGTAAGTTTGGTTATTTTGGTCATCATGCATGGGCTACTTTCCTGTAACAGATTTTGTGCTGGAAATAAAAATGAAAATTGTGATGTGAGATATAAGAATGAGGCATTTAATTGCGCTCGGGCAATGTTAATCTCTGGTTAGTGACTCTGGGCGCCTCATAATGCCCATTAATGATAACGCTGCTGACCTCCCATTACTTTGACTCTCTGACAGTGGCCTGCTGTCTGTCAGATCTCCTACTGCTACTCATCCACCTCCTGAACACTCGTAATATTCCCTTGCTGTGATGGATGCCGAGGTGGTTCTCCAGGAGGAGGACATGGAGGGCTCGTGGACGCTGCTCTCG